AAAAAAATGAAACTTCCACATCCGCTATTATCTCTTCATATTTCAACGTCGACGTGACATGCAATCTCTGTAAATTCTCAGTGACAGATTTCAACTCGAGTTCCTGAATTTTCTGTGATACATGGTAATATGCATGGTTATATAATATATACTTGAATAGAAAAAAAACCCGTTAAATCAGTATTAATGTTCTGGTTGTTTTTATATCCACTAAGAGGCCACAGCCCGCCGATATCAATCTGATCGCGAAATGTATTCGCATCGCAAAATTTTCCTCCACTTTTATCAACCGCGCCACTGAATTGTGATACTACCGCAATATCATAATCGAAAATTTATCAGAATGTATGTTTGCGCGCGATGGTGAGCCAGCGTATTTGATTGCAAGCTCCCAAGCGCATTATGATTCTTCCCTGCACGCGCGGGCAAGTTATAAATCTTTAATGCTGTCAACGCGATGGCGATTTACTTCCGCCCCCAGTAGAGGTTTCGTGAAGTTTATTAAGCTCGTTTATACTCACATCTGCGAGCGGAAGTTTTTCTTCTAGTCACGAACTTGCGGGCGCACGCTGCTTTTTGCATAGTTCTCGCTGATTTAAAAATTTTTAGCGTGTCGAGAGAGGCGAAGATGATAATACTTCCGAAGTGCCATATACTGCTAAATGACTATATCGATAATTCCCGTACACATACGAGCGTACAGGCGATTTATCAGCGAGACATGCGACGCTGTTGCGGAAACTTGCGGCGAATTCATGAACTTGCTATTCGGAAAATGCACGCTTTGTATATGTTACCTTGGGTAACAATGGAGGAAAAAGTAGTCGTGGAATTGCAACCTCACGTTTCTCCCCTGCATTATTGTGTAGAATTCTTATTTAAAAAAATACTTGGAATTTCAAGGCGTTTTTTCGTAAATGGTTTACATTTGACGTGAAGGTATTGTTCTTTATCGTGCTAATAAAGCCGGAAACTCATTGCGCAATTTTCAGAAATTGCGCAAATTGCCACGATACGAGGGATGTTTGGCTTGAAAAAGCGATAAATCGTAAATTATCGAGAGCGTGAATCATTCATTGTGTGTTGCGAAATTTATTATATTTTCGACAACTAAAGCACTTGTCGAAAAGTGCAAATCTTTCACAGCGATTGAGTTAATGTTGCATATGCAAATCACATGTCGCGCTGTTACCGCCTCTCGGAATACGAAAGCGACTGGCATTTACCGTCCCATCGTTTCTAGCGCGGTGTTTGCTGAAGATATCTTGATCGTTATCGAGTATTCGCTCTCGTAACCTTTTCCTTTCACCACCCCGTCCCGATGTCATCGAGAATTACGTTAATCCGCTCGCTTCGCCCGCACCCCGTGTTTGCCGTCCATAACATGGCAAACCAAAAATTGAAATTTTTTACGGAAGTGCGAACAACACTGACCAGCGGTCAATAATAAATTCATATAATGCACATGCATCTATATACCCTTATTTATTATATATAATGCTACTACCAGAATTAGGATAATCTTTCGTTTCGAGCGCAGTCAAGAGCCAAGCGCTATATGCATCGATCGAAAATCATACGTGCGCGAGATGCAGACGTGCACGTGATAAAATTTATGATCACGCCTGCCATTGACGGCTGGTTCTTAGCGCGACATTAGGTGACTTGCATTTTGATCGGATGAGAAGCACAGGAAGGATACGTACCGCACCGCAGAAACCCGCACGTATACCGCAGGGATGACTGATCCGCCTAGTCATTTGGGTTTAGCGAATCCACGGACCCAAGCTCAGTAAACCACAAACACTTACACACATTTACATTAATATATATACATATATATATATATATATATATATATATGTTGTTTTGTGTGCAATAATGCAATAGACATTAAAAGGAAAAGGTGCATGCTAAAGTGCAAATACAATCTAATTTAAGAAGAAAAAATATAGTTCGATATAAATAGATTATAATAGCGAAATTTATGTGAAATTTATGTCTTATTTTTATTTTTTAATTAAAAAAGAAAGCTTGCATACAGCGCGTATCGATTGCGCAATAATTTTCAGCAAGCTTCATTTTCGCTAGGTAATAGCTCGTCTTTCCCTTGGCTCGCGTAAACACCCGATTTCCGAACGGATTATTGATAGCTTGTGGTTGTTTCACAATATTGAGACGGTTATCGTATAAAATTGCATGCACAAATATGGGCAAATCAGATATTGAACATTAATGAAGTTATGAAAAATGAAATCTGGTATCGGTTTAATAATTTTATCGGTTTAATTTTAATAATTTTTTAATTGTAATTGTGAATTTTAACATGATTGTTTTTCACTTTGGAATTAAAATAAACAAACAAATTAAAACATATATTTGAAAAATTGATAAACAATTATAATATTTTTATCAAAATTTTAATCGTACTTGTAATACAAGTATTTATACAACAACAAATTATAAATTAAATTACAATTATAAATCACTTTAACGTATTGTGTATAGAATAATTTGTTATCCGCAAATATTTTTAAAATCGATTGAAAGCGTTGCGATCTTATTTTATTTACAAGAAAGTTATTTTTGATATCTTTTTTAAATCAACAATTTTATCTGAAAAATCGTATAAAAATATAACAAATAAAACCCGTAAAATCCGAAGTAAAGCGAACGAAGTTGTTATTTATACGTTTACTATTTGGTAAATGATATTTCTTGTCATTTTTATTTAATTTCATGTTGAATACACATTGGATTTTGATACACATTGGATTAAACATCTTAAGATATTTTTTATGTGTAATCATGCTAATTAACTAAATGCGGCCGTATGCAAATTAAATAATAATAATAAGGTATTTAATTGTGAACTTTTTCTGTACTTCAAACACACATTTTTCACGTAATAAATGAAAATAACATCATTTGTTACTTTACATTATAGCGATTTTAAAGGAAATACAAGAAAAAAATTAAATCGGCTTGCTTAATTAAAATATATTTTTAAAATCTCTTAATTTACGTTTGGAAAGGATTGGAATGGAGAAAATTCTTTTCTCTCATTTTAATCAGCGATCTCGCGTATTGAAATTATAGTTTTAGTTTTGCTAACGAAAAATACGAGAATGGAAAAAAAATGTAATCATTTTGAAAATCTATTTCTCTACTCTATCGAATGATGCAACGATGTAGGGAATTTCTCGTTTTGAATAAGGATTCGTATTCATATTCCGTTTATTATTCAAAAAACTCACATAACTTTCATTTTCAGAAAAGATATTCTATATGTGTTTCCATATACTGTTACGATTTACAAATTTTTTCATTTGTACATATATAAAAAAAAGGATTAATTGCTGATTTGTCGTCATTTAACTAATCATCATCCTATGTATAGTTATGCTACACGTGCACTTTTAAACGTACCGTGCGAGTAATAGATATTTCAATTACGGTTCCCAAACTCGAGGAAGATTGTGGTACCAGGAATGAATACGCAATATCCCCTGTATTTTCTTCGTGGTCTCGGCGAGTTGTCGCGTTTCGAGATGCCGGAGGCATCTTCGTTCCCCGAGGACACCTTACTTTCTTTCGGTCCCCCATTCGTCTTACATATGCGGACGCGCGCGCCCCATCTTGACAGCTCGCCTTATCGTCCTCTCTTCATTCTCGCCGACATCATAGGAAATTGCGGACAAGTTTCCCCCGAGGCGGTTGCCCCACAGAGAAATTCGACCAATTAGATCGACGGAAAACTTTCTTACCATCAAACTTAATCGGCGAGCGGCGGTCTCGAAGCTCCGCTCTCGACGTCGTGTGTGTACGCGTGCGTACTTTTCCGAACGAATAATACGCATGGCCGAAGTCGAAGCTCCGCATCCTACGCACGGACACGTTTGCTTCTATACCCACCCGATTGCCGCCGGAATACTAATGAACCCAGCGCACCCGCCGAAGACGTAAGCAAGGTAGCAGGTGAAGATTCGATCCTCGCGTACTTAATAGCGTACTCCTTAATTACAAGCCGCGCGCGCGCATCTGTCTGCCGCGGAAAGGCATAATCAACCGACGGAAAGTTCCGAGCAAGTTCCGCGGTTCGTGTCCCAGAAAAAGCATAAAGACGATCCTGCATGCGCCGAGAATCGAGGCCTGAGAACGATTTGCGGCCGCCATACTTGGCAACTTTGTTGAATGTAACGTATGAGAGAACACAAGATTATTGCTATTCTGCAAGCTACTTCAAACATTTGAGATTGCAATGCAACACTTAACAGATAACTTTGGTAAATGTTTCGGTAATACGTTTAATACATACAATGATTAAAAAGATAATATAATTCTTTTAATGATAATATAATTCTTTTGTTAATATTGATCTACATGTATTGATCTACACGATTGAGGTATATGTTTGCTTCCATGTTATTATCTTGTACTTTATTTATATGTTATTTCTATAAAAATCGTATACAAAGTGAATCCCGTCTGAGCGTCATATGGATACATTTTTAAGCGTATAGGACAAAAAATTCCATGTGAATAGCCAAACTAATTGACAGCTTATATACGAGCTATCGTATGTGTCGCGGTATTTGTGCACGAACGCTCTGTAATTAACGATGTGCGTGGAAAAACCATAAGTCACAAGAAAATATTGATTGAAATGAAAGCGTGGTGTATCGTATAACTTGATTCGAAAAAATATTTTTAAAGCTCGAAATATCGTTTATATACTATAAAATAGGAAAAAAGCACGGATTTTCAATTATAAATTTGACGTATAAAATGATTTTTATCTCAACGAAAGGAACAAATAGGGTAATATGGAGAATATTAGCTCCAGTTATCGTACGTAATAGATAATTAATTGATTATTAAATAATTAACTTATACCATTATGCATGAGATGGTATATTAAATAATGGAGGTAATCGTAGTAATTGTACCTCGTGCACAAGTAAACGAGAACCCGACAAATTAAATCGATATTTACTTACCGATTCTAATGACCGGCGGCAGCGACATGACAGTGGTGATCGAAATGACGATTATGACGAACAACAGTGCCATCGTGTCCACCGTGAAGATAATTCACACTTGGACGATTATGACATCGTTCGTGTGGATTTTCCGTAAGACGAAATGCGACGAAAAAAGGAAAAGAAAAATCATAGGTACGTGAAGTTATGCCGTTCTCACCGACACTTTAACACTAAACTGCACATCTTCAAAAATTCGTCGCACAACAGAGAGAATTCTTAAGCGATCATCATCTTCCGTGCAGGCTTGATCTGAAAAATAAAAGAAAGAACTTTATAATAAAGTATCAAACAAAACTACAAGACTGTATGAGATAATCATTTATAAATTAAATAGAAAAAAGTGTATAGTGTAAGATAAATTTAATAAATAAGATTAGTATGTAACAAGAGATAAAATATATTATTATAAGTTTTTAAATATTCTGATAATATAATATTAAATTTCAAATGTACAGTACATATGTATATAAATAAAACTTTTACAATTCTTAATGTTACATACGTGTGCCTAAAATCATCGTAACATTAGTCATATTTGTTCATCGGTATAGCTTTCTGGTTAAATAGACATTTATTGGAGAAACAATATATGCGTAATAAAATAACTCATGACCTCGTAAAATCAGGGCTCGAACAGACCAGCAAAATGCAATCTGCTGGAGGCCATGCTTTTTCACTGGTAAATTAATTGCTTAAATGGCTAGCACAACTCTATACGAGATCGTTTGTTGAAAGTAACAACCAGTAGATTTTTACGATTTATGATTTTCGTCTAGAACGAAAAGTAAGCTCATATCATTAGCGATGTATTTGTTAGAATTTATTAGTCAAATAAAAATTTAAATATCTATTATTTTCAGTCACATTTTTATCTGCATTTTGAAATAAAACAAGTTTATATTTATTATACTCACAAAAATACTCATAAGATACTTGCTAGTATAATTTAAACTATCCAAACATGAAAAATATTTTATATTAAACAGCGATCGATTTTAAAAAAGACAAAACTTATTAAAAATAATATTTTTATAATAATATGATATCACTTATATACGCATAATATTAAGTTTTTAAAAAGATTTGTTATTTAAAAAAAAACTGCTAGGCATAACTATATTCTTTTTAACATAGTCATTTTGGTTGCGCACGTTAGACCTAAAGTCTGATTTAGTTTTCTATGCTTCAAAAATGATGAGAAAAGAAGCGATGCTATGGTCTCTGGAGTGAAATCACATGGGTCCGCGTTTCCACTCCCAGAGGTGCATTTTCCAGAGGGAAAGATGGAAAAAAGGGAGTGCGACCTCCTTGGTAGATACGACCTCCGTTACGTCGGAGCCAAAGATACCAAGGAAAAGAGAGTCGCTCCCTTTATTTCCGAAGCGATTCTGGAGTTTTTGGTCCTGCCACGATAGTGTCCCCACGCCCGACTCTATCTCGACGTGCCGCATTGTGTTGCCCGACAATCCCGTCCCCGTAACTTCGATCGTGCTAACGCGACAGATAGAGTTCGTACTTAAAACTGCGTTACGAGAAAAATGTAGTTGAATCAAGCGCTTTCCCGGCGAGCAAACTCCCTCAATCTCAACGACATTCCTTGGAGCAAACCATCGGAATACCGCAGAATAGCGTCGAGGGACACAATAGCGTCATAATTTCCTCCGTGAAATGACTAACGGGAGAATTTATAAGTTTTGCTAGCTTAAAAGATTTATGTTATATTTATGTTATTTTTTTTCTCTTAATATCAAATAAATATTTAATGGATATTTATACAATATACATATCTCGATTTTGGCAATGTCGACATTTTGGAATTTCTTAATCCATGTTAATATTATATTTATATTAATATTGACTCTTAAATATTAATAATAGTTTGTTCCAAGGAATGTCGTTGAGATTGAGGGAGTTTGCTCGCCGGGAAAGCGCTGATATTATTCACATTTCTGATAAATACATTTTAATATACGTAAAATTATTTATTATCCATGCAATAATATATCTTGCTTCTGATATCAATACATTTATTTGATTACATTGGCGCAAGAATTATTCTGTAGATTTAGTTAGATACGAATTCGATTACATTATTGTTATCATCTATATATGGTTATATCATCTATCGATGAATAACATACCATTACACTATGTTGACACGCAGATTTGAATAATGTGAAATTCAAGACTTTAATTACATAGGTTAAATTATCCACGCACTGTACACAAATAAAGAAACTAATTAACCATATCTAATTATTGATATCATTTATCATCAGATAAAATTTTTTTAGATCATAATGCAATATGACCTCTTCGTACAATAAGCTGCATGTACAATACAAATCAAAGTATATCGGCAAGTTTTCCGTATTTGACGATCAAAAAACTGGTCAGGAGAATAAAGACTTCGCGCGTGCTACTCGTCGAATCGTCAACAACGGGCTCTCAACGAAAGTTCAGTGTCGATGCCGCATGCAGCTCACGCTTTCGCTATTAGAGTTAGCGTAAACGGATTTCAACTAACCCAATTTAGCCAGGGTAACTTTGCCTCTCGCTGCGTGTTTGTTTGCCGAACGGCGCGGTCCTAAGCGCGCCGCTTGATTACGTAGGTGTGTCCATTGCGTTTGAAATGGCTTTTTTTCATTCTGCCGTCTTTCGTCCCATTCGGCAACTCTATGTGGCGTACGCTCTCCTTTCTCTCGTGTAATCCTCTTAGTAATTCAAGACTTTTGTCCTAACAAAATTGTCATATCTTATTAAGAGGATTTATTAAGGAAGTGATAGTATATCACAAAATTATGTGAATTTTTAATATTAGAATGATACATATATGACAAATAAATCTCTAATATAAAAAATGAGAAACATTTTAGGATGAAGTAGTATTTAAAAGTGCAAAAAATAATATTTTTAGATATAACTTCTTGTTTAGAGATAACTCTCGGAAACAAACATAATGATCTTTTGCTAATGGATGCTTATTTTTTAATATTTCTAATTAATAATTTATTATAATTTAACAAAAATTTAACAAAAATTAAGTGCATGTTAAAGAAAGAAATAGGGATAAAGTGTGGAAACCATATTGTGCACGCTTTTTTTACAACAATAGATAACATTTGGAGTGCGTTTTATTGCCGATAAAAACTACATTACATCCATTCTTTATGGGTTTTACGATCGAGAAGGATTAACGTGGATAGAGAGCAAGGATCGTCTTCCTAGATCGTAAAAGAGTGCTGATAACCATAATTTTCAACAAAAGTTGCTTTTTATTCTTTCTTCTTGCAGTTATTTAATTTTACAATTTTACGTTTAAGCGTATTTTATTGTAGACGTATTTTTAATTATTTATTTTAGTGCATCAAAAGACTGGAGGGCGATATAGAAAATCGATTGTCTTAAGTTTTTGCTTGTTAAAACTAATCCGATTTATTGAAAGTTAAGTTTATCATCCTTCATTGAAAAGCTAAAACTATTTCTGCATAATATTTTACGATAAATATTTCTAAACTGTTGAAACTGAAATTATAAATATATCAATTTGATAATACTCAGATATAAGATATAAGATCAAAATAACTTTTATGAACAATTAATGTTCTTTTCAATTTTACAAAAATTTATATCTTATTTTACAAAAATTTATATCTTTCTAACCTCATAGACCTTAACTTTAATTCAACATTACAATGGTTGATTAAGCTACTACATATATATATGTAATATAATAATAAATTTATTATATTAATATATATACACATATATATATATATATATAAATGATGTGGTTTTAGGTTTTGTTATATTAAAAATTTTTTTAATTTAAGCCGTTATAATAATAATAAGTCGTCTAATAATAAACTAATTGTAAAATTCAAATCGTCATTATCAGGGTTCTGATATTACATGATACTTTTAATGAAGACTTAAATAGCCTAGTTTTATTACGAAATTCGAGCAAAGAGAAGGAATAAATGAAACGTAGCAGATTGATGCACGATACTATTACATCCTGGCGAAGTTGCGAAGCAAGTAGTGTAGAGGATAAAACCGAGGCGTATTGTAGAAGTAACGAATCACCAATCAGGATTTAACGGCAACAAGTAAAGACGCACGATATTTCGAGCGGACCTTAACTTCCGTTTCTTCTCGTTTTATTTCCTCTCGTTTCGAACAATCGGGTTATAATAAATTTCTAAAAATTATTAGGACGCTTCTATGGTCGAAGTATATAAGCTACATCGCATCAGCGATACATTGCACTACGAATGAATGCTCGGTGGGTGGTTGCGCGATTAATAACGCGACGGTGTCAGCAAGAATTTCATAACTTCCATATTCTCGAGGAGATTCAGGAAGAAAGTTGACGCGTCGCGGTTGAGCGAGATTTAACGAAGAAACGGTAAATGGTTAATCGATATTAGAATCGCGTGAGATATGTAGATGGATGGATTATAAGAACGAGTCAAAGAAATTAGTCATCTAGTTAAAATGTATGACATATTGATATTTAAACTTATTTGTGACATTTTAAATCCGCAACTTTCAACTCTGGCATATAAAATTATGCCACGCAACAGTCATAATTTGCAGTTTTCTCTTCAAAACTCCAAAATTTTCTGAAATAGTTTATTAGCAGATATACGTGAATATAAATTTATGAATAAATCAAAATAATGATAAAGCATTTGAACATGGAATGGAAAAAGCATTGGAACATTTTTAAATATATTTAACAATAATATTTATAAAATATTTATATCTATTCTTCATAAGAATTTAATTTAATATATTATTTTTATATTTTAAATACATACATTAAATATATTTTATGTCTCTTAGATCTGTCATGAAAACAATTTCAGTAAAAGGAGACAAAAATATTTTGTACTAAACATTGTACTGAAAGTGAAGCATGAAGCTGTTAGAAGCAAGTGCAGACTGGAAAATTATGAATTTCTAACACGTAGCGCTACGCTTTCAGGAAACATATGCTTCAGAAATGTCAAGTTGCAAGATGGAAGGAAGGAAACATTTGACGAGTGTGTCTCTCGTTTGTCTCGATTATTTCGGAATGAGGCGTTAACCGCGCTCCGAGTTGAGAGGAAGCGTGAAAGACGCGTTTAAAGTAAGAAAAGAAGTTGGGAACGTCGTTGCTATGTTGTGACGTTATCGTATTATACAATACAACATACCATATTTCTACACGCGCGAAACCCGCTTTTGCTCACGTGGAAGCCCAACGATGTTCTTCGGAGAGTTTTTCTCCTTGCAAATGGGAAATATACGCGCGACAAAAAGGAACTGCACTCAGCTACTTTTTTTTAAATAAAATTTGAAAATGTGATAATAAAAATTGAAAATGCGATGTTAAAAGTATACGCAATTGCATTCGTTGCATTCGTTGTTATTACTTTAATAAAAATGTAGCATATTCTTCCTTCGGCGGATTAATACAAAGCGATTTGCAATAACTGCAATAAGTAATTACGGTAGTCTCATTAATGGTGAATTGTTTGGAAGTAAAATAAATACAATAAAGAGTATAAATGAAAAGAGAAAAGTATTTGGTATTGATTATTAAGCGAGATAGAATTTATTCAACAGCGGAGAAGAAAATATGAATAATTATTTTCATCAGTTGTATTGTTTTCATTATTTTCTTTATGAGGAAAAAATTTTCATTTATATTATAAAATATGATTTATAAAACATCTTTCATTAATTGTCCATGTTTCTTGTATTGCTTCTGTTATATTAAAATAATTTAATACAACATATATTATTGTAAATATTATAATCAACATATTAGAGACGAATATTCTGTATTATATGTATAAATTTGTATAGTATAAATTTCGTATATAGTTTGTATCATTTAGCTCGTAATTAAAATACGTGCTCATGTATAATGCACATATTTAATATTTAGAATCAAAACTTCATTTGCAAACTGTCTATTAAAAATTCATATATGAAACGCTTAGGTTTGTATACACTAAACCTTTGTCCTTCATTTTTCATTAATACAGTAAATATTTTAACAATCATATGTTAAAGACTCATGATTGATACATATAGATGACATTTCTACAAGTTGTTGATTAAATCAAATATCACATTAATAATATTCCATATATTGTGGGATAACAAGCAGATTATGTTTGTATATTTGTATTATATTATTATAATACAAAATTTTGTTATTAATAAACAAATAAGCTTCTACTATTACATTAATAACAATTTATGATGCTGCATTAATAATAATATAACATAGCTATAAAAAAACTTATGCCCAATCATCATATTGTGAATAAATTAATTAGCAATGGAATTTTATATAACAATAACTTATATATAACACTTATATGTCTTATAATCTTATAACAAGTTTCTCTGTGCTAATTAACAAATGTTACTGTTTGACAATACCATTAATCAATACTATTAACCAAACTGCTTACACAATTTTGGATTTATTAACAACCAAAAGTAAAAAATTCTTTAATTAAACTATAGATATTAAACTATAGATATGTATATGTAAAGCTTGATTGTTCGTTTTAGTGTAATTATTAATTTTATTTTCTCAAAATTGCATTATGTCATATAATTAGTATTAATTTTAATATTAATTATATATATATATACATCAAAATAAAAAAGATATTGAAAATTAAAATGAGAAGAAAAATGACTACAAGTGGAACATCTCCAATGAGAATGTGTTTAAGATATCAATCAAAACTTATGTATTGGCAATGCATTGTATATAGTATACAGTACTGTACATTATTGTATAGAGTAAGAGATGAAAGGAAAGCGAGAGTGAGAAAGAGCGTAGGAGCAGAGGATATTTGGGTTATCACATTCATTAATTATCGCTCGGTTGGAAATGACGCGGAATTTATGGATATCATCGCATTTAAAGTTGAATCGTATAGCGTATTAATACATCTAATCGTACCACTGATACATAGTAACAATAATTATGATTAATGACTATGTAGATGTTTATTATTCTAAACCATGTGGATTGCAATGACTTCATTATCAAACAAATAATTGGTAAATGGAATATGCGATAATTAATAAACATCAATAGGCCAAATATTGTTTGTGTCTCACTCTCGCTTTTCTTTCACCTTGTGCTTTGTATAAAGAAATAAATTTAGATACGCTTAAGTTAAACAAAAAGTTAAAAATAAAAAAAAAATAAAATTAATTTATATAAATTTGAATTAATTTTTATTAGATCGCGTTTCAATATTTACAAAAAAATATTGCAAAAAGATAACGCGAGGGTTATTAAAATAAGTTCTATTATACTATTGTACAGTTAATAAATAAAACATATTCGATTCATGACAATTACATGAAATATTTAATTATCGGTGCAAGAAGTTATAAAATTATTATTTGTTAATGTTATCACAATAAAAAACTTTCTTAAAGATAATCCGCCATCGGTTATTCAATACGCCATACTTAACGATCGCTTGCAAAATATGTAAGCCTTCGTGAGTTGTGCAAATCCTTCGTGCCGCGCGGATATAATCTCGAAATTTCTATGACACTCGAAACTGTATTTACGAAAGCGGATATTACGGACCGTGTTTCTGCCAGGCTATTTTGAAATACTCGGATGCTCGTTAGCAAAGATAGGCAGACAGATAGCAAGAGAGTTGGCCTTTTTGATGCGGTATTAACACTATTCAACGCGCTCATCTCTTCTGCCACATCACTATTTTTGCATCGCATGCATGTACAAAGTATTCCAAGAGAGAATATTTTATTGATAGCTAAAGCTATAAGCTTTCTGTTTATAAATGAAAGATATGTATATCATACATATGTTATAGTCATAAAATAATACCAGTTAATCTCATTGCAACTCATTTAATCAAATATATGTTATATTAAAGCACAAGATTTAAAGAGTAACGCTTATTAGCGAAATATTCACATTTTAAGAATAATTAGAAACAAAATTCACATATAGAAATATAAATCAAACTTAATTAGTTTAACTTGTAATTTCTTTTTATAAATTGAATTAAATAAAACTATAAGTTTTAATTGAATTCCACGTTATTTTGTGAAATATCTCCATGTAAAATTGTAGAATTTTACCGACAAACTTTGTTTTAAAATAATATACTTTCTTTTTTCGAATATCTAATTTTCTCGACAGTTATATGCCAATAAAAATAACTTATAACTCGAGACAACACTCACGTTCGTCTACGCGACATAGAAGATATCATTGCATCTCACGAGACTCGTTCCGCACAACATGATTGCCATCAACAATTCTCTGGAAGAATTCTTCTTTCGTTTGCTCGGTTTCAAAACCACCGCGATGCTTTTAACATTCTGATGTGTCTCCTTTAATCCTTGATATGCTCTACCATCCCTGCACTTTCTTTATAGAGTCACCACGATCTTTTCTGCATATTCGCACAATTGAATTTTATCAGTCTCTCCGATTTTAATGTCGCTTATTTTTTATTTTTTATCACGTTTATAAATATCGTATCATTTTGATCACCTTATTATTTATCGGCGTCAATGCTTAAGGAAAGTAGAGATTGGGGAATGCGAAGATAAAACTGCTAAAATCCAAAACGTATGATGATCGATCTTTTCTTCTTGAAAAAGTCGCAAAGTTTGGCTTTCCGGGTGGCATAATTAAAATGCAAATTTTTCTAAGCTAAAATTTTTTTTGTGTTAAAAATACTGTATTATTAATTTGTACGACAAATTCTTTCTAAACTCGTCGATCACAAGTTTCTTAAAAAATTTGGTATGAGAACCAATTGACTTGATCGTCAAATAATCAAAACATTCCATGACGCATGGCGGTTTCCCTGTAACTCTTTGTATCCACTCACAGGCGAACGTCAAGCTTACTTCCGGCGTAATAAATCACATGAGTTTTCTCTGACCGGCTTGCGAGATCCGCGCGCAACATCCGCGAGGACGACGAGAACCTCCCTATTTTAGGTACGCGCGGTCCGACGATCGCGAGAGACGCGCGGGCACTGGCTGCGCGAGAACTTACCGCCACCCCCGGACGAATGCGCGGACAGGCAGTGCGGGGTAGTGGGTGGCCTTCGAGGGTAGCTCGAAAGGGGTGGTTAGTGGAGTGACAGAAAGGGAGACAAGGACAGAGATAACAGCGGTCTGAGAGAGAAAGAAAGAGACATGGAGAAAAGGGAGAAGGATACGCGGCGTGCGAGAGAAAAGGATAATGCATACGAAACACACAGAATTCTCGTTCGACATCCTGCGCGAGTGCCGAAGACAACCCTAGAAAGAAGCAGGCTCGCGTCCGCCTATGTAGGTTAGCGGACTCGCGCGACCCTGACCATCTCGTCGCTTCACAATGCGGACGTGTAGTCATCAGAAAGTACGAAATATAGCTCCAAGTCTAGATAAATTATAAATTCTAAAATAGCGAAATTTCGAAATTTCTTAGAATCTATTTAAAATTAAAATAGTTAAAATATATTTATTATTACTAATTAATTAATACACGAGGGTTAAATGATAAGATCTACTTCACGTCGCTAATAATTAGTACGAGTATAATGAAGAAAGGTTTTCTCTTATTAAAGAAAACTCTGATTTTAATTTCGTGTATTTTATATATGTATGTATATGTATATATGTTTCCTGAACTACAAGTTTCTAAAACACAAAGTTGCAATACACGATGTGCGATACCGAATTGATAGATTGAAGAGTCTCGCCTCTCATGATATCGTCTTTCCTCGAGAGCTCACTGCAAGAAATCGAGTTGCATCTTATCTGGATTATCGAGTTTCCTCGACATTGACCATACTTTAGCTCCATGCAAGATTCACTTCTTAGTCTCGCAGAACGATCGCAACTTTACCAATCCAATCTCACGGTATTTTAGAGTGCTACGTAGGCTTCGGTGACACGGTTTAAAATTGCTTTGCCACAGATCTTTGCCAAAGCATTTTTAGAAAGAAAAGACGAAAGAAAGAAGAAGGAGAAAGCAAGAACGATACGCACGGCATTCTCTTCTCGTTTTAAGTACATAAGGCAGTCTGATGAAGAACCGAAATTGCTTCCCACTTGGATTACTTGCTCGTCTCCGCGTGGTCTGACCACGCTCCCAAATTAAGCTCGTATATTTGACAATGTTCGCGTCGTATGTTTTGCGGGAAGGAATTAAAGCTTCATCTCGCGGGATTTACGCGGAAGAGCAAAGCTTCGCAGGAGGAATCGCCTTATTCTGAGCGCGCAAAGATCGTTAATGTTCTCTCTTCCTCCTTTCTTTCCCCTCTTTTCCTCTCTCTCTCTGCTTCTTGCGCTTTTGAAATAAATTTCTAATTATATTACAAGTGTAAGAGCTTATGAAAATCCTAAATATTTACATCCTTTGCGTTGCCGGCAGAAGATAACGCAAACATGAGGTGATGTTACCAAAACTATGAAACTTAGCGTGAAAATAGTGAAAGGAGCGTGCAGAGGAGAAGAAATAAGTAGGATAAGTGAAGCAACGCATATCGACTACGAAAATCGCTCGAAGGGCGAATCGCTCCGTGTTGCGGTTCCAGGGAAAGCGGAAAGAACGGAAATTCCGGAAGGGAGAGCGTAAGAGGAAGGAGAATGGATTATCTAAGTTGATTCTACACTTCCTGGAAGAGCACAGATAGAAGACTACAAAGTCAAGCGAAGTCGTCTTATCCGCGTTAGTGAACAACGACCCTGACTATTTCCTATGCAAAGAGGATTGAGATAAAGTTCGTATTTATCAGCGATTTGATGCCCACCTAAACGTTCCTCCCCGCCATTAGTTACTTGACCGTAAACGTTCATTTTTAAAACGTAAGATTTTTAAAACGAATATTCCCGAGTATTTTTAAAATGAGTACTCATTTATTTCTCTCCAGTATTATAGTAAATGTCTGCTTCACTAAGCAGAGATTTGTTCACAAATACAATTTCAATGTAATTCTCACCTAAAAGGTTGGAAATAGCATCGATATTATATACACTACATTTGTTTGTCCTGTGTACATTCGCTAATTATGATACAAACGCGGAATACAGGGTTTATAATTTTCTATGAATAGATAATTATATTCTATGAATATATAGAATATATGGATATATTATAGAATTATATTCTATAATTTTCTATAGATAAATAATCATATTCTCGTTTAACGTTACAGTAATAATGCTTTAACTATCTTTTAAGACAAAATTACGATGTAAATGTACATAATATATTTAAAATCTATTTAGAATAAAATGAATTCAATGTGATTTCATGATCAAAATTTTTTTTATTTAATAGATTATCTCTTAATAAATCCATTGCTCTTCTCTCTCTCTCTCTCTTTCTCTCTCTCTCTCT